CATAAATTACATTAACTAATTAAAAATAACCAAGAAAACAAGTAAAGATAGAGACTGTGAGGAAGAAGGTAATATAACCAACAACACTAAGAAATAGGTCCAAATTTGCCACCTCAAAGCTGTGATGAAAGACCTACCAGAAACACAAATCATCAATCATGATCTCTTGTTTACGCCACCTCTTGCAGCTGGTGAGGCCGACTGTTAGGGGAAGATGAAGGGCAAGCCGCGTCTGTTAAGAGAAGATGACTAAGAGAGGACGTTGAGAGAGAGAGGGGGGGGGGGAGTAAGAGAGGGATAAATTAGATTAGGGTTTTCATATTTTTATTTTAAGAGACCTCACGTTGTCTCTCATATTATAATTTTTTAATTAAACTAAATTTATTTTTAATTTAACAAGTAGAGACCTCAAGAAGTCTCTAATTTTGTGGAAATCCGACTAAAAAATTAAAGAATTAAAATAAGTCATTTATAGGAAAAAATAAATTCAAAAAATTGTCCTCACGAGGTCTCTCCTACTTTAAAAAAATTAAAAAATTATTGATACAAATAGCGACCTCATGAGGTCTCTTATTATCGACCTATTTTTGAGGTCTCCTTTTCGAGGTCTCTTTTTGCCCTTTTTTAGTAGTGATAGAGTTCCCCATAATTTCACTAATTCCAAATTCCAAACTTCAAATGTAGGAGGACTAAAATCACTAAAACTAATTAGTTTTTAAAAAAAATGAACACATTAGTTTTAATAAAACAATGACCAAAAAGGAAAAAGAGCAAAAGAAAAAAATTGAAGGAATACATGGATACCCAATAAATACGGGTAAGCTAATTATGATTGGGGAAGATGAGAAAAAGATTTAAAATTTTAAAACTATCCTTAATAAAGCTTTAAAAAAATAATACATTGGTTTTTATATTTTTTTAAATAAGTCAAATTGGGAGTGCCACATAGCAATTTCACGTAGGTCTGAAGTTGTATGAACAGTCCTTCACGCGCCCATATTTCTTGACAACACGAGTGGCGTTAAAATTAGTCAAAGGGGTATATTCATTGTGGATTTAAATGTTTTCGACTTTCGTGGGGTAATAGAAAATCATAAAGTTAAGATATCTTTTTGAAAATTCAAAACAATTTCAGTGGTGACTTTATGTATTTTCTCTTTTCTTTTTTTAATTTAGATTGATCCCTCCATGTATGTCATTTCTCTAATATATGTTTTATCAGTAGATGTATGGTTTAGAAACACGTCTGCAAAGTATTACCATGTTGCAGACATTTATAACATAATAGTTCTGTATTTAAGACATATAATCATGGAGTTAATATGATTTTGAACATGTTCAGTACGGATTCGTTTATACAGACAACTTGATCTCTCAAAAATTACTTACTTAGTATTTACCATGTCACAACCTCGCATTTGTTTCACTTTAATATCATTAAGCCTCTCTATTGCAGTAGAGTTGGATGTAGTATTATTCTTTTTTCATGACATATTGCAATCTTTTACCAAGAGAAGTTATTGTATTTTATGATTGCTTATATTGAACGAGTAGTAGGGGCCAGGGGTGGAGCCAGGTAGCGCCAATGGATTCATCTAAATTAGTTTTGCTTCCATCTTACGAGTGTATGAACTTTAGATATTGTTATTAACAAGATCCAATAGAGACATTCATGACAACAAACGTAAACTTGCACAAAGATCGTAAAGGCCTTAGAGGATTCAATATATTATCCATGTATGTGGCAACATATAGTTAGTTTTCCATGAAATATATTTCAATAGAGTATATGACGTTAATAGCCCAAGGTAGAGCACTCAATGGCTAGGTTTTTCATTTTTTTTTTTGCATTATGGATTTTGTTCTTTTCAAATCAATGTAATAATTAAACATTATGGTTTTTATTCTTTTTGTTTATTTAAACAAGCAAACTTTCTTTCTTTTATAAAGTGATATATTATCAACGCAAGTATTAAATAATTGTAGCATTATAATTGGTAATATCAAAATAAGAAAAACAAAGCAATTTAACAAAGAAAACAGAAAAAAAGAAAAAGAGAAACCCTAAACATTAAACTCAAAGGCCAAAAGATGAAGAAATCACTAATTCCCAACCATTAAGTTATTTCGTTTTTCTTCTTCTAAATCTTTGTCTATTTTGTGCACCTTGACTATTTTGTTGTGGCAGTGCTAGACAGCTAGACTACTACTGGCTATAGATTCATTATTAAAACTTTGGCTAAATCATATATTTATAATAAGAAATCTACTTAATATATAAGTTACCACGACTTAGGATGGAAATATACTTCGTTCAACAAAAAGAGGAAGTACAAAAAATTGACTGGCCTTTTAAAGGTAAACCATGTTGTTGCACAATATATTATTTTAACGATAACTTGGTGAGCATCGGGGTTTCTTATAAGCACCACAAAATTTTGTTATGGAACATGTAAAGGGGATGATTTTTGAACACAAATAGGACTGTTTTGGTATAAACTAGAAAAATAAGAAGCAACTTTTTATGACTAACAAACAACCTTGTCGACTTCAACCATCCAACACTTAGCCAAATTTAGGACTGTTTTGGTATTAACTAGAAAAATAAAAAGCAACTTTTTAGACTAACTGTTGGACGTTTTTCAGAAATATAAAACAGTAGACAGCTATATAATAAAGCGACAAATATATAATATGAGACTAAGGCAAAGAACCTTACATAAACTGAATTTTCAACTTGTATTAATGAAATACAACAAGACTTCCTTGGCACTTTAAGAAAACCCTAGACCAAACATTGATTTGTCACTCTTATAGTATTCCCTAATACTTAGAACAATCAAACCCAAAATTACACCATAAGGTAGATTGCAAATTTATAGTACTATGTGCAGCCAACTACCCACTGGTGGCGTAATATGAATAAAACAATTGTTGACCTTAGCCTAATCCTATTCTATGTTGTTGAAAACCTACAACCATTTGATATATTCAAAATAATTCAAACAAGGCACCAAAACCAAGCTCTAATCTAAATAGGATAATGTTGCACTTTTTGTAACTGCTAGTCATGTGTTTAACATGTGTTTTGTAACCGCCGGTCAGCTTTGGATTTGCTTTTGTTTGGACGATCTTCTACGATGAATAACACTTCCATACATAGACTTTTCAGCCATACATTTCTCCCACTCAATGCTTCCACATCAAGGTCACAAATCTATGTCATTGCATCATCCCTAGTTGGCATCAATGTCCTTTCATTGTTGCGTTAGCTTTACTGGTCACTTGTCCTTGTTCTTTCTTTGAATATAAATGTCATGCCCACACAACATTGTTTATATTTCATCTTGTCAAGTCCTCAACAAGCTTCATTTCCTTCAAGTCCTTGGTCCTCACTTGTTGCTTCGAAATAAGGCCATGCTGCCATTATGCACACCTTAGCTTTGCCAACAGTTTGTCATCAACTTAGCCTTACATGTTTGGTTCCTTGTCTTATGCAAGTGACAAGATCAACTTGCTTAATAACCTTGTCCATGCTGCCATATAACTGAGTGACTTATATCAGGGGTCTAAAATAACACCTCCACTAATTTGATTAATCACCCTCAATGAAATAAATTGCGATAAAACATCATATTTTTTGGCTAACACAACACTAAAAGGATTAACAAACACTACTGGTTTGACATCATCATTTTCAGCTAGTAAACATTAAACAATTTTTGCCCGTTTTGGACCGTTTCTTGCCATGTGTTGTCCATCATAAATAAAGAAGCCATCAAACTTAGCTCTTTTTTTTGTGACTTTAGACGGTCCAGCCTCTTTTTTTTCATTGTCTTGTTGAATTTGTCTTCAACATTAGGATCTTTTTACTTTTACTTCCAATCTTTCATTCTATCTTTCCCATATGACTTAGAAGAAATAGAAGAATTTTCAGTATCATCTCATCCTAAATGAAAATTTGCCAACGCATCTGCCGTCGTAATTGCACTAGGAAGATCTTTAATGTTCTACTTTCGTAGTTCATTATGTGTCGACTTCTGTAATCCATAAAAAAATTATGTAGTTTTTCCTCCTCAGACATGTTGTTAATACGCAGAACCAAAGAAAAAAAATTCCTTAACATAGTCTTTAATATATCTGGTCTTCCTTAGAGTCTTCAAACGGTCCCCAGAAGACTCCTCACAATTTTGTTCAAGAACCAGCAATAGTCAAACGCAAGATGCATAGTTCAACATAAAAGATTTCTTTTTCCTTCAACACTTTGTTAATTTCAGTACAAATGTCTACATTGTTCTTCATCATGCAAGCAATATACAAAGTCACTGCCTCACGAATAGTAAGGATCTCCGCTGATTTTTCCTTGATATCAACTCGACATAAATCCATTTCTGAATAAAAATTTTCAAATAAAATCTTCATTTCATAGAAATGCGAGATAAGATTCACCGAATTTGGGTCATCCAGCCGCTCAGTAGCCAATCCAACAAATGATTCGATCCTTATACATGACCTCGTATTTCAATGTTCGTCACCATTATCTAATTCATTGCAACACCGCTCTATCATACTAACGGTAAAGGGGATGATATTTGAACACAAATAGTTTATTAATTTAACCCACTTTGGCAGCCAACAACCTTGTTGTCTTAAGCCTTCCAACACATGGCCAAATTTAGGACTGTGTTAGTATTAACTCAAAAAATAGGCAACAACATTTTGAGACTAACTATTGGGCGTTCTTAGGCAATATTAAACAGTAGACAATAATATCATAAATCCACCAATATATAATATGAGACTAAGGCAAACAACTTTACAAAAAACGTAATTTCCAACTTGTATTAATAAATTGAATACAACAATACTTCTAGATCGTAGAAACCTTGGCACCTTAATATTAACCTAGACCTTGACCTAGATTTGTCATTCTTATTATTATTCCCTAATACTTAGAACAATCAATCCCTAAATATGCCCATAAGGCATCAACTAGATTGTCAGAGGGCATTCACTGTCTTTTGGAGGATTTCTTCGATGTCCCTATTTGGCACTTCCACCTGTCCACTAGCTTTGGGATGATCTATTGTAGCCACTTTGTGCCTCACCCCATACTTATCTGACAGATTACGCACTGAGTTATTGATAAAGTGCGTACCTCCATCACTAATCATAGCCCTTGGCGTTCCAAACCTGGTGAACATGTGCTTTTGAATGAATTTGACAACCACTTTGGCATCATTTGTTGGTAATGCAACAGCCTCCACCCTCTTTGACACGTAGTGCAATGTGACTAGAATGTATTGATTACCACATGAGGATGTCAATGGTCCCATGAAGTTTATCCCCCAGACATCAAAGATCTCAACCTCCAACATACTTCTCAATGGCATCGCATGCCTCCTCGAAATGGTTCCCAACCTCTGACATTGATCACAACCTGCCACAAACAAAATAACTTCTTTAAATAGAGTAGGCAAAAAGAAACCAGATTGCAATACCTTTTACGCAATTCTTTTGCCTCCATGATGCCCACCATATGGTGAAGAGTGGAAAATATTTTGCTCGGCTATAAACCTCCTTATCATTTGACCAGGACACTATTTTAATAAGTAGGGCTTATATCATATATAAAAGTGTGCAACATACTTCAGCCTTCACTTTTGATGAGTTGATACCCTCGGTGGATATAAACCACTCACCAGAAAGTTCACAATATCAATATACCAAGGTACTTAAGCAATGTCCAAATCAAGCAACTACTTATCATGAAACTCTTCACGAATATGCCACTCATTCTTCACATGAGATTAACCCTCTATTCTAGACAGATGACCAGCTATTTAGTTCTTAGTATCCTTCCTATCTCGTATCTCAAGGTAAAACTCTTGTAGCAGCGGAATTCACCTAATAAGCCTAGGTTTGTCTACCTTTTTTATTAAAAAAGTACCTAATAGCAACTTGATCAGTGTAGACTGTAACCTTGGTTCCCACCAAGTATGATCTAAACTTATCAAATGCGAACACCAGTTCCGCCATCTCCTTCTCAATAACTGTGTAATTTGATTGGGCTGCATCAAGTATTTTGCTCACATAGTATATGGAGTGAAATATCTTGTGTTTTCTCTACCCAAGCGCTGCCCCAACCACTATGTCGGTGGAATCACACAAAAGTTCAAATGGGAGTTCCCAATTCGGAGCAACCAGAATAGGAGCTTCAATCACCTCTACCTTCGCTTTGTCTACTTCCAACCCATTCTTGGAGATCTTGTGCCCCAACACAATTCCCTCTTTGACCAGAAAGTGGCATTTCTCCCGGTTCAGCACCATATTGGTCTCTTCACATCTAGCAAAAACTCTATCAAGATTAATTAGACAAAGTTCAAAAGACTCACCAAACACTAATAAATCGTCCATGAATACTTCAACAAAATATTCCACCATGTCATGGATGTTTTCATCATACATATCTAAAATGTGGATAGGGCATTGCACAAGTCGAATGGCATGTGCTTGAATGCATAACTGTCATATGGGAAAGTGAATGTCGTCTGCCCTTGATACTCTAGTGCAATGACGATCTAATTATACCCTTAATAACCATCACGAAGTAGTAGTACTCTTGGCCAGCCAACCTCTCCAAGATTTTATCAATGAAAGATACTGGGTAATGGTCCTTTCTGATAGCTTTGTTAAGTTTTATAGTCCATGCATATCCTCCACCTCGTCACTATTCTTTTAGGGATCAACTCCTTTTTTTAATTGGTCAGAACTATCATTCTTCCCTTCTTGGGCACACACTATACTGAACTTACCCATTTACTTTCACATATTCGGTACACAAACCCTGCATCTAGTCACTTGATGACCTCTTTTCTGACCACATATGTGCACTTTCCTGGTAACCTTCTTCTATATATATTTTATCATACACAGCGAGGGACTACTACCTTGGATGCAAGAAATTTGCAACCCCGGATAGTGCAACTTCCACCTGTTCTTCAGCTAATTGACAAAATAATCTGTTTTATATTCACCAAAAATGCATACAGGAGGTGGATGGCAGTGATTTAAACTCCAGCTTGGGTGCTTCTTCAATTGAGGGCTTGGGTGGAGGACCCAACACCCTATTTAGAGGCTCCCATCGATCTCCAGATGTCACTATAAGTAGCACATCAAGGAATTGCACATTTTTTTGTGCTACAACATCCCATCTATATCATGACCCACCAATACTCACTCTAGAGAGGATCCTTAGATGCAATATATATAGCTTCTGCATGAATATCTATCGCAGTTAGGTAGACAATTCCTCATACACAACTGGCATTTTTAAAGCATTGAATGCATCAAACCCTCCACTTTATCATGGGCCCGCATAGTTAGCTACCTAGCGGCTACATTTATCATTGCACTACACGTTTCTAAGAAAGGTATTCTTAAGATGAAGGTCACCCCTAGATCAGGCTTAAAATTCAATACCACTAGGAAGATCAAAGATCTCACTTGTACTAACACATATTCTACAACACCCTTAGGCGTAGCACAACCCAACCTTAGTTTTTTGTACTGAGAAGTTGGCATCAACTTTATATTAGCTCCTACATCACACAATCATCGCGCATGTATGCTCTATCCTATAGTGAACTAAACAGTAATGTAACAACCCAAAATTGACTATGCTATGTAATGCTTAACACACCTAGAATACCTATATTAGACCGGGTTCACACGATTGATGCAGGTGAAATCAGACCTCTAAACCTATGATGCACCAAGACAACCAACTTAGTGAGTTAGTTGAACAAGGCAAGGCTCGGTCCATCCATGTAGGGCACTCGAATATTAAGATTCACCTGGATGAGTCTCAACCGAACTTGAAATGGGTAATCTTAAGTTTGGAGGGTCTAAGGGTAAAATGGTCTTTTCAAGGATAAGGGTAGTATTGTAATTTCCTAAATATTCAATTAAGTAATTAGTTAATTAAGATAGTGGACAATTCGGGTAGGGTTGATCCGAATTGACCCATTTTCGCGAGTTAGGATTCACCCAAGTTCAATCCTTGGTGGAAGCAATGATTAAATTGAATTAATTAGTAAATAATGATTAAGTTGAATTAATTGGTATTTAAATTTCTTATTTAAGTTAGGGAAAATTAGATTTTCAATAAAAAATTAATAATAAAATAAATAAATAACAAACAGTCCTAGTTTGACTAAGTCTTCAACTAAAACTCCTACTCCTAAACTTAGTCTCATCTCTCTCCACTTTAATTCTCACGTATCTCACTCTCATTCTCACGTCCATCATAATAAAAAAGGAACAAAAAAATCAAAGTTCATCACTTGAAGAACTTGCACACAAAAACTCAAAAGGAAAACTAAACTAAAAATGAAAAGCGAAAGCATTTTTCAAACGGTTTTCGCGTAAGTTTCGTTGGAGAAGCATTTATTTTTTGTGGGAGTTGGAAGCACTTGAGATCAAATTTGAAAGGTGTTCAAGGAAGAAAAAGCTATGGATTTTCTTCCTCTTGGTCCCTTTCCCAAGAGACCCCTAAGATTCACTCGAATTCTAATCTGAAACCTAGGAATGTTCCCCTTTGCATGTCCCTGTCACTAGCTCCCATCGATTGTTGTAGGTTGGGTATGTTTGCTGGTAGAAATTAGGGTTATAAGGTGTTTTTGTGATGATTATGTTCATGTATGTACGTTCGAATTTAGGTGATGGTTAAAATGTGTGCATTGTGTATGTAGTCGTGTTCTTGGGCATGTTTTGGAGCATGAAACTGGAATGTTAAAGCCTTGTATTTTTTTTATAATATTACTTGGAAAATATGCACATAATAATGTACTAAATATCGAGCGAATTACCTAAGAATCTAACATACAAATGATGGGAAAAAATGGACTAAAAACGTGACCAAAATCTGGAAATTTGGTCTCGGCTAAGCAATAAAAGAGATGCTGAAATGTTTTTTTAAAAAAAATAAGATGAGAGGTCATTAGGGATTGAACCCAAGACCTCACCATATGCAAGCTATTAAAAATTCAATAACAAAAATGGGTTAGGGGGGATTCGAAATGGGGTAAGGCTCAAGTGAAGGAATGAAAGAGGAAAAAAAATTTAAAAAATGAGGTTTATGGGGATCGAACCCACAACCTCTTGGATAGGTGAGGGAGATAGGAGAAAATTGAAAGAAAAATACAATGAGGGGTGTGGGAAACGATCCCACAACCTCTCGGATAAGTGAGGAACTTAGGAGAAAAATTAAAGAAATATAAAATGAGGTTGTGGGGGATCGATCCCACATCCTCTTGTTCTGCATCGAAAACGAGAGGAAAGAAAAAGAAAGAAAAAAGAAGTGCAGGTGTTGGGATTCGACCTCAAGTCTCCAAGCTAAAAAATATAAATCAAAAATTTAATATGAAACTAACTGTTGCTCAAGGGATTCGAAACCGGGTTCCCTTGCCCAATTCCGTATTGATATATAAGTCTTACGTGAATAAATATTTAATGAATGGTTCCCATTGGAATCGAACTCGAGACCTTGGAATACTTACAAAATGCATAAGTCTGCACCACATAATCTTGGGTAAGTATGAGTCACTTAGATGAATTATGAATGATACCTCATGAGTTGTACGTATGGATTCATAAATCCAGCATATGTTTAAAATTAAGTGAACCTAAGATGTATGTGATGAATTGATGTGACTCCACAGGAGGGTTAAGTAAGAGTGTGGAACACACTAAAAGGCCAAGTGCATTGGCATATGAAAAAATGAACATTCACGTAATGGGTGAGTAATTATGAAGCACTAATATGCTAAAGCTAATGAAAATAGTGACAACATGATAAAGAGGCTAAGATGAATGGTGAGGCAAGTCTCAACCAAGCCTAGGAAAATGTTACCAAATGTACTCACCTACGGGAGTGTAGAATGATGTAGAGTCAAATCTCAAGCATACTCCAAAAGAAAGTGTTAAGAATGAATTCAAAGTTAATAAGCAAAGAAAGAGTGACTACATGAATATAGACTAGTGCAAGTTAGACAAGCTGCATCTACACCTAAAAATCAATGTCACTAAATAAAGTTTCTAAGAGAGTATATTTATGTTAAACGATAAATAACCAAATAAAGAGTGCTACATGAGGATAGGCAAGTACAAGTGAGACAACTAGTATCCACGCCTAGAATCAATGTCCCTCAATGTAAATTGAAAGAGAGCATATGTATGTTATACGATGAACAAATATTGAAAGTGAGTAAAGATTAAATAAAAAGATTTTAAGAAAGAATAGGGTGACACCACAATATGAGTCTAGTGCAAGTGAGACAAGTTGTACCTACGCCAATATAAGGTCACCAAAAGTACTCACCTAAGAGAGTGTTGAATATTAAGAGACAAGTTTCAATCACACTCTATATATAAATGTAAGGACAATTCACACTTAATACATAAAGAAGAGATGATAAATAATCTAATGAGCTATGACTACCTCATGCTAGAAGCAAGCTTCGATAATTTATGAGTTGAATGTAAATAGGAACTTCAAACGGAGCACCAATAGGCTAGCTATGAGTGGTGATGCCTTCTTTCAAAAGGGATGAGGTTCACATAATTCTAATTAAATGAGACTATCCACCAAGATGGGTATATGTCTCCCTAAATATCCTAGTCTTTGGACTATGTTGCCAACATAAGGAACTAGCCGATGGTTTTCCACCTAAGCGAGCTAGGGATGTTTTGGTTTCACCTTGGCCAGTGACTCCACCTCTTTTTAGTGTGGGGAAGACACCGAATTTCATGATGCTCACATGATCTGTGTCAGTTAAAGTTGAAGTTCCTCAAAGTATGAAAGATAATGAAATAAATGATACCAAAGGTGTTAGGATAGGATAATAAAGAGGTGAACTAGACTTATGTAATGACACTAGGTCATTCTTGGTCATTGCACAGTGAACCCGATGAGAGTCTTAAACAACATCCTAGGTATAGGTGGTGTTCACACCGGCCTACGAACGAATGAAAATGAAGAGCTCTAAATGAATGAAGCAGACTCTGAGTTCGCTAAAGAAAGCTCCCTAGCTAAGGTCCCATATGTTGAGCCCTCATTTCTGGAAGTCCTAATGTTATGTCCATGATTCCAAGGTCTCATGGAATATGAACAAATGATATGTAATATATGAATATGTTTTATGAAATATGTTATGTATAGTGTACAATATGAAAAGAATGATGATGCATGTTACTCTCATAGCATGACTTTCCTAATATGATTTGGCAAGTCCAACTAACTTGTCTTTCCATAATTTATATCGTTAGGA